TTTTTTTTTTTTTTTTTTTTTTCAGGTCCTTACTGGCGGGGGAACCCGGTAATCCGTGATGATTTCGGTAAGCGAGGTACTCTTTTTTTTTTTATCATTATGTTTTTATTTATTTATTAAAGCTTTTAAGTCTCTTATTGAAGGATCAAAACGGCTTTTTGTTTCCGTCTGTGTGAGAAGAAAAGCAGTCGATAAAACCCTTGAGCAAAAAAAAAAAAAAAAAAAAAAGTGGTTGGTCACGCCACGATCGAGTGTATGCATGATGGGCTCATGCCCTACCTGGAGTTTTGTTTTCTTCCGCACCTGCATGTTCATTGTATCTGTTCTTGATTCTCGGTGATCGTTCATTGTCGTTTCTCTGAGAGTTCTATGATGGTTCCTTTATATGATTGTGCCCTGAGTCTTTTATGACCGTTCCGTTATGTGATTTTTCACTGATCTTTCCTTACTACAATATGAATCTTCCTTGATCGTTCCTCGATGGTTGTATGATCGTTCCTTGCTATGGTTGTTTTTTGTCGGAATGTTCATGGATTGTTCCTTGATCGTTCCTCGAGGGTTGTAATATCGTCCTTGCTATGGTTGTTTTTTGCTTGATTGTTCCTTGTATGGTTGTTTTTTGTTTTTTCATTCAGGTTTGCATGATCGTTCCTCGCTATGGTTGTTCTTTGTTTGATTGCTCCTTGTATGACTGTTCATTGCTCTTTCCTTGATTGTTCTGTGATTGTTCTTCTTTGATATGGTTGTTCTTTTTTGGGATGTTGTTGCTTTGGTTATTCAATGAAGAATTAAACTAATATATATACATATATATACATAGATATGGTGTATAGAATCTGAATCTATTTGTCAAGCTATTCTATTTTTTTTTATTTTAATTGAAGTACTAGGCATTCAGGAGGATTCGGGGTTTTGGCTGTGTGGTCTTGATTGTCTGCAGGTAAGCAGAGAGAGGGAGGTATGGAGGTGGTTGGAGGCGCATTCTGTATCTGCATTGCAGATAGGACCAGGTACGTGTGCGCGGGTAGGGCGGCCACATAGCGTGGGACGAAGGACACCCCGCGAGGATGAGCTTGCAGGGAGGCTGCTGACGTGATCATTTCTGTGCGACCGATTTTAATCGGTCGCTCGTCGTTGGGAGTGGTCGCTGCAATCGGTCGTTGTTTGGAGTGGTCGCTGCTGGCTTTCGTCATATTGGGCAGATCGGACAGGCTGTCGGTCGGTCGGTCGTTGCGATCGGTCGTTGTTGGGAGTGGTCGCTGGTGGCTTTGATAATTTCTGGGAGACCGGTCACGCGGTCGGGCCACTGGATGGACAGATTGCAGATTGCAGCACCTTCTCATGTGAAGGAAGAGATTATCATCAGTTAAAAAAAAAGGAGAAAGAAGAAATAGAAATCAAGCAACTAACTATTCGAGATCGGGCCCGAGTTTTGGGCCGAAGTGAGACGAAGGGATATGCGAAGGGGAGGAAAAAGGTGAATGTGCGCAAGGGGAGGTGGTTTTCCGCTGCTGCAGACAGTACAGCTTTGCCTCGTCGCCCTATGAGGGGAGGACTCTAATTGATTCCTCCTTGTCTGATACTCACACAATCTCTCTCTCTCTCTCTCTCTCTCTCTCTCTCTCTCTCTCTCTCTCTCTCTCTCTCTCTTCTGTGTGCACGCCGTGGTTTCCCACCACAGATCCGGAGATATTTGCGTTCTCTCTCTCTCTCTCCCTGTGTGCACGCCGTGGTTTCCTACCGCAGATCCCGAGATATTTGCGTTCTCTCTCTCTCTCTCTCTCTCTCTCTCTCTCTCTCTCTCTCTCTCTCTCTCTCTGTGTCTTGTCTAACTTCTCTCTCTCTTCTCTCTCTGTGATCATCTCTTGCGCTCCCGGAGAGGGTCTCTCTGGGGTGGGATTGTATTGGCGGAGGCAATCATGGCGGACAGCGCCGTGCCCCCCCGGTCTACCGGGTTGAATCTGTTCACACAGCAGTCGAAGGCTCTGCTTGTGAAGAACTACAAGCTGTCTTTGAGGAGCAAGCTTGCCACTTTCCTGCAGCTTGTCTCTTCTCTCTTCTTCGTGTTCCTGGTTTTCGCCGTGGACCGTGCCATCCAGGCCAGGACCAAGGACGAGACCACTTTCAAGAATCTGTTCCAGCCGCAACGATCTCCTGTCGGCCCGATCCCGAAGTGCGAGGACGGGTTCTTCATGAAGAAACCCTGCCTTGACTTCGTTTACTCCAACGACAATAACAGTCCGCAAATCAAAGAGGTAGTTAACAACATCCACGCTCAGCACTCTAGGCAGCTAAGGGTCAGGGAATTTTTGACCCCTCAAGAGGTGGACGAATACCTACTTACCAATCCGATGACAGTGGGGGGGGCCCTTCTCTTCACGGTGCTTGATAGTACGGTCTCGCCGCCGTTGATTGGCTACGGCTTGCAGACGAACGCGACGGTGAAGAATGTGCGAGGCATCTATGAAGATTCCGTCCTCAAGTTCCAAATCCCCCTCCAGATGGCCGCCGAGTGGGCCATCGCTAATTACACTCTGTTCAATACCAATTCCCCAGGGGGAGGGAGGAAGCTGGAGCAATGGAACGTCACTTACTCTGAGTACGCTCATCCTGCTGTGGAATCCTTCTCCGGCGTCGCGGTCATTGGTCCGCTGTTCTTCCTCGCCGCCACCATGTTTGGCTTTGTCATTCAGATGGGGGCGATCGTACAGGAGAGGGAGTTGAAACTCCGACAGGCGATGTCTACAATGGGCTTGATGAATTCGGTCTTCTGGTTGACATGGCTGGTGTGGGAGCTGCTTCTCGTGTTTATCTCGTCCATCTTGCTTGTGCTATTTGGTATGATGTTCCAATTCGATTTCTTTCGGAACAACGACTTCGGTGTCCTCTTCTTCACGTTCTTCCTCTTCCAATTGAACATGGTAGGCTTCGCCTTCATGTTCTCCACGTTCATCTCGAAGTCGTCCTCCGCTACTACGTTGGGATTCGTTGTGTTTATCCTTGGTGTGCTGACCCAGTTTGTCACAACGACGGGTCTGATCTATAGGGAGCAGACCTCCTCCGCGTTCCGAAATGTGTGGTCTTTCTGGCCTCCAAATCTGCTCGCTCTGGCGCTAAGTTACCTGGGCAAGGAGACTGCTACCCCTCAGAGTCCGGGTATCAGTTGGGGGAGAAGAGATAGCAAGTGCGAAGATTGCTTGCTGAGCTTGGCGGACGTCTGGGGGTGGATGATAGGCACGTTCTTCCTGTGGTTCGTGCTCGCCGTGTACCTTGACAACGTGCTCCCCGATCCCAACGGTGTGAAGAGACCGTGTTTCTACTTCCTACAGCCTTCGTATTGGACAGGAAAGGGGTCGGTCGCAGAAGGAGGAGGCTGCTGCACGTGCATGGGGTCCGTACCCGAGGCCCCGCAGATGGCAGGAAGACTAGATGAGGATGTGGTCACAGAGATGGAACAGGTGCAGGCTGCTGTGAAGCATGGCAGCCCTGGTTCTGGCATTGCCGTCCAGGTTCGTGGTTTGGTGAAGACCTACGCCGGTCGCCGGGAGCTCAAGTGTGGCTGCTGCTGCACTTGCCAGAAGATCCCCCCTTTCCACGCCGTCAAAGGGTCTTGGTTCAACATCGAGAAGGACAAGCTGTTCTGCCTCCTCGGGCCCAATGGCGCGGGCAAGACGACCACCATCAACTGCCTGACCGGAGTTATCCCCACCACGGCCGGTGATGCTATTGTCAATGGGGAGTCCATTCGAAGCCCGGAGGGGATGACGCGCATCCGCTCCACCATGGGGGTGTGCCCACAGTTCGACATCTTATGGGACACGCTGACCGGCAGAGAGCACCTGTGGATGTTCGCGAACATCAAGGGGCTGCCCTCGGATCGAATCCAGGCGGAAATCGAGGAGCTGCTGCAGAGCGTCAAGCTCGTGGACGCTGGCAACATGAGGTCTGCCAGCTATAGCGGTGGCATGAAGCGTCGCCTTAGCGTCGCCATAGCGCTCATCGGGAATCCCAAGATCGTCTATCTAGACGAACCGACAACGGGGATGGACCCAATTTCCCGCCGACATGTGTGGGATGTCGTGGAGAAAGCCAAGAAGGGGAGGGCTATAGTTCTCACCACTCATTCGATGGAAGAGGCGGACATCTTGGGCGACCGGATCGCGATCATGGCCAAGGGTCAGCTGCGGTGCATCGGGACCAGCATTCATCTGAAGACCAGATTCGGTGCAGGCTATATCATGAACGTCAGTGTGAAGAAAGGCAGCTCGACAGCCGTAGGAGGAGGAGGAGGCGGAGGAGATGGTAGCTCCCCTGTCAATCAAAAGGGGAGCGGGAAGGACGACATGGATGCGAAGCTCGCCCCAGTGCTGGCCTTCTTCAAACAGACTCTGGGAGTGGAGCCGAACGAAATCAACAAGGCGTACGTCAGCTTCTTGATCCCTCGGTCGAAGGAAGGACAGCTGTCCAAGTTCTTTGCCACGCTAAGGGACAGGAAGAAGGAGCTAGGCATCACTGACACGCAGCTCAGCCTGACCACTCTGGAGGAGGTCTTCCTGAACATCGCCAAGCAGGCTGAGTTGGAAAGCGCGGCGGCAGAAGGAAGATTCGAGAAGCTGACCCTCGGCGATGGTCGCACAATCAGTGTTCCCGTTGGCGCACAGTACGTACTAGTCCCCGAGAGCATCTCGCAGGACGTACCCAATGGGTTGATGGTGGAGGTGTTCTGGCAGCAAGACGAGCAAGGATCGCTGCGTATCTCTGGCAGTTCAGACCCGAAGCCGGCGCCTGCGAGGAGACCAGAAGGGCGGCCCGCCGTTCAGCCATCGCTCTCCTCCCGGTCATCCTTCGGCTTGAGCATGGGAAGAAGAGTAGAGCCCAGCGGCTCCTATGATAACCCTCTCAGGGTCGAAGTCATTGACATGGAAGACGTCCGGAGAGGTGGCCAAGAATGACAAAGGTAGTTCTTTTATTAGACAGTCTGTTCCCTCTGTTCTTTTTTGTTCCTTTTCTGGCTTATGTACGCTCGTTGCTTCCCCCCCTTTTTCACCTCCTTCTGCTCCCCTTCCGCCCCCCTCCTCCCCCACCACTCTTCTCTCGTCGCCCCTTCCTCTCCCGTGCGCGCGTCTGTTCCTTTCCTCCTGATTCTTTTTTCTCGTCTTGTGGTCTTTTGGTAAGCCTGGGTCACTTCATCACTTGCCGAGAGGGGAAAGTGTCTACTCCCTCCCCCTCTCACCTCCCTCCCTCCCTCTCTCACCTCCCTCTCTCGCTCTCTCACCTCCCTCCCTCCATCTCTCTGCTCCCTCCTTCCCTCTCTCGGGATCGTGTGTTCCTTTCCCCCTGTTTCTTGTCTCTCGGCCTGTGGTCTTGGTAAAGCTGGCCCACTTTATCAATGACTCGGCGAGTGCAGAGAACGACTCTCGGGGGTATATAGATAGCCGCAAACCCCCAAGCCGGAGGTTTACGTAGGGTGGTCAAAATAGCCGGGGGTCGAACTGGCCGGAGGTTTATGTTATTTTCGGCCTGAGTTCAACTTCGATTTAACTCACAGAAGAAAGAAAAAGAAGCTTGGAATTCGCCCCTGTGCCGGTGTCTGCATTCCTTGTAGTTAGTACACGTTAGACATGCAGTCAGATTTATTTATGCATATAACTCACTCTCTCTCTCTCTCTCTCTCTCTCTCTCTCTCTCTCTCTCTCTCTCTCTCTCTACCCTACTTCCGTCCCTTGTAAAAAACCTTCAGGTGCAGGGTTGCCAAGCGCTTCGAGCTGCTTGCTTGAGATCAGTCGCGAAGCGTCTGCTTCGCGTCTGATCGAGTACAAATGCGGGTGCTGCCTCCAAGCATTTTGGGAGTTCGAGCGCCCACACTGTGTCCTGACCTTGTCGTGTGCAACGCACTTTCGTGCTGTGGATAGGATAGGATGCTTCGACAACCTTTTTCCTTTTTTCTTTTAATTCTTTTCGTTTTTTGTGCCGGGACAGGTTTACGTCGCAATTCGTTTGTTTTTTGTTTTTTTTTAAATACTTTTTCCAACCTTTTTTCACCTTCTTGTTTTCCGTTTTGTTTTCAAAAAAGGAAACAGCTTGAATTATTATATTATTATTAACAGCCAAAGCTGGAGGCACGACCCGCACAATTCGACCGTTTTCCGTGTTTTGGCGCCATTACGTGTGCTGCTGAAGTTTTAATGCGATAGTGGATTTCATAATTTCAGGGAATTCTTATTACGGGGATTTTTTTTTATATTAGAGACGAGAAGAAAAGCTTGTGCGTGTGAGACGACATTCCACTGGTTTAAACCACCAGTACACCTGGGCCTGGCGGCGTCGCACTGTGCGCCAAGCATTGCTGAAACCGCCAGCACCTCACTTTTTTTCTTTTTTGACTGGCGCCGCAAGCCCTTGTGCTCCGGTAGCCCCGAGCCTCCGAAATTTTAGGAGTAGGCCATGAAGCAATCTTGCAAGGATGGGGCTATGTACTGGCAGTTGAAGGCCTCGGAATCTGGAAGCTGCAGGCACTGGTGCTTGTCTGGACAGAGCTCGGCTGGTGCTGCACGCGCTGGTGCGCAAGTGCGGACAGGGATCGGAGTGGTTCAGTCATTGAATGATTTTTCATTGAACGATTTTTTTTTAATTTTCACTGTTACGGACAATGACAAAAGTTTCGTAAATGTGACAAGGCTGTCTGGCCCAGACGTCCACTTGGGATGTCCATTCTAACCTGGGAAAATCTGGGTACTGAGGTGTAGGAAATTTTCGGACAGAAATTTGGGATGGAAATTTCGGACAGAAATTTGGGATGGAAATTTTGGACAGAAATTTGGGTTAGAAATGTTGAATAGAAATTTGGGAAAGGGATATCTGGAGAGAGATTCTTGGAGCTATGGACAGAGTGGGCATTTTGTCAGAGTGTGAAATGGAGGCTTAATGAGAGCTGTTTTTGTTATCGGAAACCCTATTTGGACTTCAAGGGGGTTCTGAAAGGGGTAAGAGAGGGGTTTGAAAGGGGTATAAGAAAGGAGTTTAATTTGTGAGAGTGTGAAATGAAGCCTTGATGAGAGCTGGTGTAGGCGCGAAGCTGGATATATGCTGAGAACAACTGATATGACAAATTTTGCACAGAGATGGCTGTTTTCCACAAACCACAAGGATATTGGTACTTTATATCTAATCTTTGGTGCAATTGCTGGAGTAATGGGCACATGCTTCTGTGTACTAATTCGCATGGAATTAGCACAGCCAGGAAATCAAATTCTTGGTGGAAATCATCAACGCCCTGCTATATCCAAAATAATGATTGGGTGGATGCCTTGGCATTGAGAAAGAAAGGACGCAATGAAAGGCGCGGCTTAAAGCATCCAACTCACCCAATTGGGACCAACTCGATGGGGACCGCAGCATGTTGGAAAAGAGCGGAAAAGGCTCGCGAGCTATTCGGTCCCCAAGTGACAGCAGCTCCAGATGAAAGTAGACGCGAATGCCATACATTGAGACAAGTAGGTTATCAGCAGGAAACCACAAAAAAGTACGGCCGCTCGCCCTGGCCAGCGACCGCCGAGCTGTTTGGGATCCTCAGAGAGTTTACGTGAGAATTCTCTCAATCAAACAAAAGAGCGCTCTTGCACCTTCGGCCTTCCATACCACATCATTCTCATCACAACAGATAGAACCAGAAGGTTCGATTAACAACTTTTGAAAGTTGACAAGAAATAGTGAATCAGTCGTTATGGAGAACATATTCTTCGATCTTTGACGCGGTCTTCTTCTACAACCCGCAAAGTATCTGCCAAACGACTTAATTCAATATTGATATAAAAGAAGTAAGCACGTTTGACTTCAGAATAGGTTCTTACCACGGCGTTAACTTGACCTTGTAATTTATGCCTTCACCGTTTTGAGCTCGTTTATTACCTCTAAGTTTATAAAGTTTCTGGAACTTGGTCGAATCATGAAGGAAGTCTCTTGTTATGGTGTTGGATCCTGAGTCTTTATGGTTTTGTCTTTTGTTTTCGAACTCGCAACGAAGTTGCCTTGACTGGTGCCCCTCTTATGATTCACAAATGGATTGCTTTATTTTTCTCTGTTTTTTTATGTTTAACCTCCAATCCTTTTCTTCGAATTTCCTTTTTAAGCACTGATTCGGGAAAAGAATTCAACCCTGAGGTGGGATACCAGACCAGACGTGGCAAGGCACGAAGCAACGTCTTCTCTGTATTTACGTTGATTACATTTTGTAATTGGAAACCCTATCTGGACTTCAAGGGGGGTATGAAAGGGGTTTAAAAGGGGTTTAAAAGGTGTTTATGAGTGTTTGTTTTGTAAGAGTGTGAAATGGAGCTTTCATGAGAGCTCTTTTTCATTCTTGGAGGAAACCCTATTTCGACTTCAAGGGGGTTCTGAAAGGGGTATGGAAAGGGGTATGGAAAGGGGTTAAATGGGGGGTTAGAAAGGGGTTGGAAAAGGGTTGAAACGGGGGGGTTAAAAAGGGTGTTAAAAATGGGGCTTAAGAGTGTTTATTAGTATGATTTTTTCTCCGCTTTGTTTTTTATTAATGAAAATTTTAACCTTACAGTCGGGGCATGACCTTCAAGGCCTGTGAAATGGAGAGCTGTAATGGGAATGAAAAAATTTTCATGAGTGCTTGTTATTGTGTAAGAAGTTTAGTTGTTCGTTTTGGCTTTTGTGCGAGGGAACGAAAAATTTTCACTTTGCTTCTCATTCAGTGAACTTTTTCTTAATTTCGTTTTTGTCAAACCAGCAGTTCACAGGAGCCCAAGATGACGAAGCTACCTTCCGAAGCTTGCGGGCCTCGAGCTGTCTTTTTTCCTCAGTGGCCTTCCACATTCACTACTCTATATTATTATTTAATTGATTGAAGGACTATATTTGTGGATTTGTTTTTAATACTTTGCAAGCTTTTTTTTTCTCAATCAATGGAAGTTATTTTATTATTAATTGATTATTATTTATTGAATTTTATTCCTGATTCTTTATCTATTAATTAGTATTCGTATAATAATGAAATTTCATATTCTATTACATTGTATTCTTATCTTCTCCAATCTAATTGAAAAAACACCAATATGGCTCCGGCGGCCTGAAGCGTCATGCCCTTACCCCATAAACTGGCAAGACTCAGACTTACCTGACTCAGCTTTGAGCTTGTCGAAGAGTGGTGTGGGGAAAGGTTAAGGGGGTGTGATTTGGGGGTCGTGGGGGATTGAACCCCAGCCTGCTGCAGCTCAGCAACTGAAGCTAAGCCACTGATTTGGGGGTCTGTTTTTTGCAATAGTACCATGATGACCGTGTTCTTTTCCCCCCCTTTGTCCTTTCGTTCTTTTCCCCCGAAAGGGTGACGTGGCGCCTTGAGGATTGTCTTTCAACTGACTGACCCGAGGTGAATTCAGAGTTACTTCTTTTTTTTTTTTTTTTTTTTTTTTACGTTACTTATCTGATTGCATTGGAATTCAAACTTACCGTCTTCACCCAAATAGAACGCACAGTCATTATCGCTGCATTAAGACTGGAAGTTGGCCCAAATACAGCTATAATGACCGGGCTTTCTATTCGGGTGAAGACGGTAGGTCTGTATTTCAACAGCTCATGGGTGTTCTCCCCTTTGTCTTTTGTCATTTGCCTACCTTAACCCACAGACGAGAGTTCAGGCGGCAGTGATGGGCCCGCCCCAAACGTAATTGCTTCTGATGGCCCCACCCCCAACCCCCAACTTAATTGCTTCTTCTTTGTCTTCGTCTTCTTTTTCCCTTTTGCTAAAATGTGCGGCGGTCATGCTGATCTTCCTGTATCAGTCCTATTTTAATGGATCTCTGGAAGGACCTATTCTCCTTACTTCCGCTCTCCCACTGATTGCGCCCAGTCAGGAGCCAATCCTATCTTCGCTGGAATCAATAGTCCCATCTTCTATTTCGCTGCCATCTTCTTCCCTGTGAACACAGTGCCACGCCTTCATGACTGGATCAGAAGCAGGACCGAGCCTGTATGCCTTCATGGTGATGAGGTGTGGATGGGGAGCTGTGGTCGGTGGGAAAAAGGTTAAGGGACCTTGCAGGCAGGGAACCCGCTTGCTAACAAATTAAACAAGTACTCACATGTCAGCCATTTCGATTATCAGCTACGAAAACTGCCGGATCAGCTCGACTGATGGTCAAGAGGCTCAGATGTGAGACAATTCTGCTACTTGTGTAGTTGGCCCCGCTGCCTGTTGCTGAGTTAGGGGAGAAAGTACAAGTAATAGGCACTGGTAGCTATAGGTTTTTGGGGTAGGTTTGGTGTGTGTGTGTGTGTGTGTGTGTGTTGTCAGATTCACTATACACTCCAAAAAAGCATGACTGCGCCACACTGTTTTGTCAGACTTTCACCAACTCATCATGTGTGTGTGTGTGTGCGTGCGTGCATGTGTGTGTGTGTGTGTGTGTGTGTGTGTGTGTGTGTGTGTGTGTGTGTG